TTGGCTAAAAACGAGAATATTGTAAACAAAAGATAGGAATACCGACTATCATACTTTAATTTTGTCGCGCCGGAACTATTTGGCTCCGGTTTAAGACAGACACGCAGACCGGCTGCAGCCGCGGCAGCCGCAGCCATTGCAGCATCTACGGTGGAGACAGTAGTCCCAGACATCGAAGACTGAGGAGTGTTTGCACACATTATACCAGTAGCCCCGCCACTGCAGGCAGTTATGGGCAGGCTGACAGTTGTGGAACCTGTGTTTCCAGCCTGACTCACCCCAGCGCCACCTGCAGCGGCTAGCGAGGCGGCTAATGCGGCAACTGGATAGGCGGCCGCCCCGTTCACGAGAGCTGCCGCTGCAGCCGCTGCCTGCCCAGCCGAAGTAGCTGTCATCGTGGCCCCGCTAGCTGAAGTTGAGGCAGCTAAAAGTGGCTGCTGTTGTTGCTGCTGATGATTTGCAGCGGCAGCTACTGCAGCAGCAGATAATAACTGCATGCTACCGCTTGCAGCTGCAGATGGACTGGTGAAGGCGGCTGCAAAAGCTGGATGTTGTTGGTACAATTGTTGTTGGTGCTGCTGCTGAAGTTGCTGTTGCTGGTGGTGTGGCGTAGAAGCGTGAATCTGAATTTGAGTAATCTGTGGTTGTGTTCCCTGTTGCACATGAGGATTTAGCTGTTGCTGATGCTGCTGTTGCTGCTGAGAGAGCAGCACAGCAGCATCGGTAGTGTAGAGTCCGGGGTGCAGCTGGACTTTGTGTGCAAGGGTTGATTGACCAGCTTGATGCTGAAGTAGCACTTGATGCTGCTGCTGTGGCTGCTGTTGAAGAGCCTGTTGTTGCGCTTGGGGTTGTTGATGACTAAGACTATGTGCCTCTTGTTGCTGGACTGCCATCATGTGACTAGCCATCTGTTGGAGATGCAAGTGAGAATGCGGCGGAACCGAATGGTGAGCATGTGAGTGGGCCACTGGATGTGGCGAAGCCTGAAATGTTGTCATCGTCATCGACTGATAGGGACTAAATTCAAAGCAAAAGTCGTAGCTAGTTCGTTCGCGTAATTGTTACAGGCGCTATTACGCAGGTAGATGATTTTAAAGTGCACGCAAGACCGGCTCAATTTATATTGATTTAGATAGCCGAGACAAAATCAGGGAGAGAGCTTGAATGTTGGATCAACCTATTAACC